TAGCACCCATGGTTGACTACGGCTGACTGTTGCAGTTAACGATGCTATTGCGGATGGGCTTGGGGAACTGACGGAACCTTGTTGCTGAAGTTTGGGGAGTCGGCCGGGACGAGACTTCAACAACTGATTCAAAGTGACCGAGCTGTCACATAGGTTGCCATTGCGGGGTCCTCAGACGATTCGAGGTATCAAGGCCCTCTCTTGCGAGTCTGAGAGCACCCTTCTTGGATCTGAGAGACTCAAACTTTCTCCTGCTGCCCTTTTTAATCTAAGTCTAGTCTACTGGTTCTGAAAGGGAGGCGGCAAGCGGGCGTGTGACCCGTGACCCGCGCCAAGGCCTTTGTGGGAGGTTGCCCCACCGGTTGCGAGAGCTCTACCGGGACTCAGGCGGAGTCCTGGAGGCAGGGAACCGAGTGGTAATCCCTTGACTCCCTCTATAAACCCAACTATAACCCCTACGTGTACATCTTTCTATGTTTGACTGAGTGGATTGTGTGGATCCTGTACTTGGTTCTGAGTTTGACTTTCAGCACATAAGTCAGACTGAGAATAAAAGAATGTATGTTCCAACTCAGTTTTATGTTGTTGATCGCTTGCAAGGAGACTGTGAATGAAATGGGTTGCATCTGGGGGAAGGCTGGGAGGAAGGCAGTATTGTGTGCAGATTGACTGGGTCTCTAAGGCTGGGAGGTCCCTTTAAGTTTGGGGAAGTCCAACGCTTTGTTTATTTTTGGATTGCATGGAGCCTCAGGCCGCTCTATAAGTTTAGGTAGCCTGAAGCTCTGGAGGCTGGGATGTCCCCATAAGTTTGGGGAGACATGGTGCTGTGAATTGCATGGAGGGTCAGGATGCTCTATAAGTTTAGGTGTCCTGGCTGCTCTGACCTGTGAGGGTTTGACTGCGAGTGACTTTCAGGGACCCAAGACGCTCTATAAGTTTAGGTACCTTGGGTTACCTCGTTTTGTTTGGGGTTCTCTCAGTTTTTTTTATTCTGAACGAGGCGATCTGAACCGCTCTATAAGTTTAGGTGGTTCAACCCTTCTCCTGTTTTGTTCTGAGGGAATAATTCTGGCAGGGGACAGACCGCTCTATAAGTTTAGGTAGCCTATCCCACTGCCTCGCACAGATTGGATCAGAGAGAAACGAACCTGGCTGAGGATCAGACCGCTCTATAAGTTTAGGTAGTCTGACCCAATGCCTCGTGCATGTTGGAACCCAATGAATATAACTTGGCTATATTATATTACTATRCTATTRAGARCAGGCTAGTCAGGCCGCTCTATAAGTTTAGGTGRCCTGACTATAGCTTATYACAATTGAAGAGAGTATAACTAAGAGATATAACTGAAGGTAAACTTGGGCAAGCTGAGCAGTGTTCTAAGTTGAGCGGCTCARCCCTATGTCMCTTGAAGATTAAGTTYAGAGAGGTATATATAACTTGGTTATTTAAACAGTTCACGGCGGCTAGAGTGGTCTAGTCATACGCCCAAGAGAAGAGAGRAGTAGTTGTGCCCTCTGTTTGTGTATACCTGGTCAAGTCAGAACGCTCTATAAGTTTAGGTATTCTGACTTTGGGCGTGGCTAAGTTGGACGCGCTYTGTAAGTTCAGGTGCCCTGACCTATGCCTTATGTAAGTTGGGTATGAGGGTATAACTCACTGAGAAAGCATGAACTATTGTTTGCTAAAGAAACTTGGGGTTGGCGAGAGTACTTACCTTTGTGGCTTGGCCTGCATGTGGCTGAGTGAGATTACTACTTGGTCTGGGTTTCAGGTTGACAGGTAGTTGCTTTAGAGGCTCGCCACGTGCTAGAGCGATAGAAGTTAGGTCAATTCCTGCATTTTCTGGGTTGAATTTATTTTACTTAGATCAATTCTCGCATTTTCTGGAATCTTTTGTTATACTTGGCTTTGTATAAATCTTGGCAAGCTACTTTCTCTACGGGAAGCGCTGCCGAAATTTCTACAAATCCAAAGAGTTGGTCAAATTTTGGCTTGTCGAGGCTTGACTTGTCTTTTCCCTATATCTGACTTCGTAAAAATCTGGAAAGCCTCCTATTCTAAAGGGAGTGCTGCCCAATTTTTTGCTAAATCAGGGAGTTAGACAAATTTGGACTTTTCAAAGTTCAACTGGTCTAAGGTTCATATATGGCTTAGTAAGAATCTGGGGAGTTTCCTATCTAAAGGGAGTGGTGCCCAAATTTTTGCTAATTCAGGGAGTTAAACGAAATTGGACTTTGGGAACTCAAAGACTATTTCTGGTTTCATGTTTGGTTTGATATAAATTCTGAAAATGCATTTTTCCTACGGGAAGCGCTGTCGAAATTTTAGGGATTTAGAAGAGTTGAATTATATTTTGACAGGTGACAATCTTGGCAACCCAGCCTGAATAGGGGATAGTCTGCCATTAATCTACCTTTGCTTAGGCACTGGCTTAGAGGTAGGTTGGGACTTAGCTGGCAAATAACCTTGAGTGAGATTGTGATATGGGGATTATTCTCCATGAATTTGTAGACTTAGCTTGAATTTGGCCCGTCTTGTGTTACATGTCCTTTGGGGTGTCTGATTCAAGTCGAGGACTAGATTCAACTTGGTCTCTTGAGGGTCATCTTCTGTTATCGATGATAACAGGGTGGTTGCCGATTCGTCGGTCTTCGACTCAATTCCAACTCGCTCTCCATACTCAACCTAAAAGGCTCTAGCCCTGGTGGTTTTACTGTTTGTTAAGGGTTTCACCCGGATTTTTTTCAATGGACATTTGACAAAGGTACTGCGTATTTAATTCAGTTTGGTTGGATCGGCGGTTGGGGCTTGCATGGCTAAAGTGAAGGAGTATGAGCATAGAGAATGGTTGGGGTTGACTCCGTGTAGTGSGTGTTTTGTCGATTGATCCTTGGTGTGGTTGCAATTATGTCATGTGACTCAGATTTTGAATTTGTATTGCCTGCGATTCCATATACATATACAGGGTTGTGAGGAGTCTCACTGTGGCTGTGAGAAGTGATCGTCACAACCCTATCTCCCTTTTGCATGTATGCGTGGGTATGCGTACGATGAGTGTTCGGGAGGCCTGAGAGGCCATGTTAACCCCCACGTAAAAGTTGGGATCAAGGGACATGGAAGACCCTCCCCTCTGCCTATTTGCGTCTTGGGGCTTTCTTAGTCGGACGTTGGTCCTGGGCCGGGATTCAAGGTCCTTGTCCAGGACATCCCTAGCCCTAGGCCCTGAAGGGGAGGAGTCTCCCCTCGCATAGAGCCTGTTTCCTTTGGCCGGCGGGACACTCCACCTGAAAGGTGGAAATGCCGCGAGGGCCGAACGGCGTGTCCTTCAGCCGTTCAATATCGTGAGGGGTAACCCCTAACGATGTGTTCCTTCAGCCATTCAATATCGCGAGGCCGGAGCCGCGGTTACCACGTATGATCGACATTAGTGGTTGGCGTAGGATTGGTCTGCGGTCGCGCAACTTTATATCAAAGTCCTGCGCGCGACGCCTCGCCGCCCCAGCGTCTAAAAGTTATGGGATCGCCGGGCTCGCGCGTAGGTGTAGCGCTTGGATTATTGTAGGCCGCCGACACCGACCGTAAAGGGGGAGGGTACCCCAAGGGCACGATTCCTTTTAAGGCAATGGGGCCTTTGCCCTAACCCCTCTTCTTGGTTTCGTGTGTGCCTTGTTTGCTCGTTAGGGATTATTATGGTTGGACGTTGTAGTCCGTGGCAGCCGTCAAAGTCAAACCCCTTGATTTTCGCCCAGGCCCGGGGAGGACTTACCCCTAAGGCCGCGAAAGACGACTACCACCACAGGCTTTGGACCTGTGTACCACCCGCTCTGCATAAGGGTGCAGAAGAGGGTGTGTGGTCTTCAACCGCACATGGCGGTTGTCCAGCGTCGAGAGATTAACCCTCAAGGCGCGTGTAAGCCGATACTTGACTGTCGAATACGACCCTCGAGATTAACGAGGACCGCGTGAGTATGGGTACTAAATAGTACACCACCATCGCGACTGCTTGCGTACGCTTGCATTGCGAGTCGATATGAGTTAATCCCCGCGTTCGCGCAGTTTTATGTTAAGTCTCGCGCGCGACGCCTATCCGATTTTTGGATTAGGGAGTTATGGGACGGCTACCGAGGGGCTAGGAGCGTTGTCGCGTTGTTTGTGTTGCGTTGCTTTGTAAGTGCGTGTGTGCGTGCGTTTTATTTTTGTGTTCGTAGAGTGGTGTGCGCGTGGTGTGTGGGATGCGTCTTAGTCGACCGACGTCGAGCCGCGCTTGGGACTTCAGCCCCCCAAGATATCGGCTCGGGTGAGGGACCGATAGGCGTATTACCGCTCGTACCCCCTATGCTATAGCGAACGAGAAACGCCCTCGGCTGGTCCACCTCTGCGTTTGCAACTGATTAGCTTTCGTATTGTGGGTTGGTAGCTTGGCGGGGATACGCCCACCGATGGGAGGTGACAGCTTCCACAAGGTGGAGGTAAGTCGTGCCTCGCGTAGGCCCTATCCTGTCGTAGGGGCTCGCGAGAGGTATGGCTGGCGCACTCGGCCGGAGCGGCCTAAGGAAGCTCCATTTGCGCGTTTGTGTCGAGGATGATCCAACTCCTGCATGACGCGGCCGAGAGGGTCCCGCACCGCCGCGTGCGGTGCCGGACCGATGCGCTCGACAGGTGGCGCCGTTGTCGGGGATAACGGAAGTCTACCGTTGTCCCTGGTGGAATGACATCCGGGTATGGGAGTGAGGGAAAAACTAGGCATATAAGTGAGTAGGGGAAAGACAATGAGATGGACTGTATGGTGATCTATATGACTGTGGGCTAAATGATCGACTGATTGGCGGTTTGGCTGACGGCTTGAATAAGGCAAGTGTGTGAGGAGATCTTATGATAGGGGTAGGCCTTATCCAGGCAGGCTTAAGGGAGAATGAGAAGAGAAATGTCTGTCAGGTCTAGAGTGTCGGATGCTTGAGGGGTCAACCCGATAGGGTCGTGAAGGATCGAGTCGCTGAGTGGGGTCTTTCATCCTATCGTTTCTTATAACAGGAAGTTTGAAGCCGGAGGCGATTGGTCAAGATGCCAGAGGAAATGGCGGACGGTGGGAGGAGGCTTGTGACCCTCGACGACCTCATAGATGCTTTGGACAAGCGCGAGAGGGCGCCGAGCAATGTCCCAAAGGTCGAGACGTTTCATTTCAATGGAGATCGGGTATCTGACTGGTTGGATCTGATAGAGCAGGCGCTGGGGGGACTGTTAGATGAGGTCAAGCTCCAGCGGGTTCTGAGGTATGTCCTGCATAGTCACCATCGTGAAGTAACTAAGGTCGTGGATGCCACTGGTGGCAGTTGGACAAAGTTTGGGGACCTATGCGAAGGAAGTACAGGCTGGGGGATGGCCTGTTGACCATGGCCGACTTGGAGGCCATGAACAAGGAAGACTTTTCTACCATTGGGGCGTTCGTGCACGAGTTCAAGAAAAAGGCGAGGAAAGTGCACGGGATTTCTGAGGAGGCGCAGTGCGCCACATTTTTGGGGCTGCTTACGGGCTCGGAGGCCACAAAGCTGACAAAGTATGGGGAAGGGAGCGAGAGGCTCACCTGGGCAACCATTGACAAGGGAGTGGGAGAAGGGAGCCTGGACCAGGTGGAGCAGCACCAAATGAGGCTGCAAAGGCGCAAGAGGAAGGAGAGGGATGCTACCGCATCCGGGACCCCAGGGGTGAAGAGAATTGTCACGAACGTGTTGGCGGCACTGGGGTATGATAACGAAGCGGAGATACAGAAAAAAGGGGTGCTAGTGGCCCAAGGCCGGGCGTCAGGGGTAGTGGATGAGGAGGTTGGGCAAGAAGACTACGGCGGAGGGGAGACAGATTCCCAAGTCCTGACTAAGGCCCTGAGGAAGCAGCGCAATCTGCTGCAGGGAGGGCAGGGGTCAGGGAAGGGGCAGGCTCCCCAAGCCATTGCTGCGCCACCGCCTGTCGCCGCGGCCGCGCCGACACCAGCAGGATCGTCGCACATGGGGCCGCCACCAGCTTGCGGACACTGGGTGCCGCATTGTCAGTCCGCGCCCTGGCCCAGTTGCAACCATTGCGTCTCGTGTGGAGGGAGTCAGGCCGACACGGAACACATGGTCCCCTACTCGGGCCCATCAGCAAGTATGGGCCCCCCGAGCTACCCAGCGGCCCAAGGCCAGCCTGTGGCCTAACCGCCGCCCTCCGAACAGGCCTCACTAGCTAGTGTGGCCGGGGGAGGGGGCCAAGGACAAGGCGGACAAGGCAATGGGGGCCGGGGCCAAGGGGGTAGGGGAGGGGGCGGCCGGGGGCGGCCGGGGGCGAGGAGGAAATGGTGGAGGCCGTGGAGGAGGTTGGGGTGGCCAGGGGGGCCAAAATCAAGGTGGCCAAGGCAGCCAGGGAGGGGGCCAAGGGTACGGGAGACCCCGCTTCGATTGGCAGAATGCAACTTGTTGGCATTGTGGCGAGGTAGGCCACACTATACGGTTCTGCCAACAGCGGCGAGATGACGAGCTGGCAGGGTTGATCTCCTCATGCATGGATGGCGACATATACGACAGGTGGGGGACGCATATTGACCCTAGGAATCCGGGAGGAATCAGGCAGGAGGCGCTCAAGAGAGCGGCGGCAGGGCCACCAGCAGCCCCGACTATGTTTAGAATATGGCAAGAAAGGGAGGATCCGGGTGTGAGGGTCGAAGAGATCGTGGATGAAAACGAAGAAGTGAATCAACGACTAAGGGCGGGGACTATAAAGGAAGAACCTATCGTCGTTGAGTCGGACGACGAGGAGGTGGAGGTGGTGAGAGAGTCCGCCTCGACCATCCTGGAAAGGATGTAGGACCTGCTTGCAAAAGTCGGCAGGTACCAGGAGCGATTAAGAGTGATGTGCGAAGAGGCCCGGGAGTGGGAAATGAACCTTCCTGAAGTAATGCTCTATGGGTCCGGCCCGGAGCCATCATCAGGACCACAAGGGTGTCCAAGCGTGGCGACGGCCGGGGCAGGTCCTAGGTCAGGGATGACCTTTAGACCCCCTACGTCGCATGGGAGGGTACCACAGGCCACGCAGACTAGGGGCCAAAGTAAGGCTACCGCTAGTCAAGGGCCCAACCAGGTGCCTGGTCGGGCGTCTCGTCGAAAGGACCCTGAGCCTGAATGAAGGAAAAAAGTGGTAGAGGTTCAAGAAGAGGAAGATGAGGGTGATGACGAAGAGGATGAGAGGCTCCGCCAGTAAGAAGATCGGCGAGCTGAGCAGAGGGCCAAGAAGAGAGGGATTCAGGGAGGGGTGAAGCCGAGCCTGAACGATGGTGCGCCAAAAAGGAAGAAGTACACGGTGCGGCTGGAGGAGGGTTTTGACGTGCCGCATCAATGATGAGAATGAGGAGGGGCTGATAATTGGCGAGCCTGGCTTCCTTTCGCCCCAGGAGAGGACCTTGATGGTAGAGACCATGAAGAAAAGGCATCGCGCGTATGCGTTTAATGATGATGAGCGTGGGAGGTTGGACGTGGATAAGATCCCAATGATACGAATCCATACCGTCCCACACGAGCCATAGAACCTGAGAGGCGCGCGATATCCGAATCTAGATGAGGAGAAGAAGGTGGTGGACTATCTGGACGAAAAAATGCGGACATACGTGGTAGACTATTCCAGTGGACCGTATGCCTCCCCTTGGTTTTGTTTTATCAAGCCGAACGGAACGCTACGGTGGGTGCAGGATTTGCAACGATTGAATGCAGTGACGATGCGGGACGCGGGAGGATTGCCGAACACGGACGCCCTGTCAAAGTCATGCGCAGGGAGGCCTATAATCTCACTTATAGACCTTTATTCTGGGTATGACCAGTTTCCTGTGTACCCGTCGGATAGGCCGGTGACGGCGATGCATATGCCAAGGGGGCTGATCCACATGAACGTGGCCCCTCAGGGGTGGACTAATGCGGTGGTGATGGTGCAAAGGCACATGATTAGGGCCATGCAGACGGTTAGTCCACATATTACCGAGCCCTACATTGACGATTTGGCGGTCAAGGGTTCAAAGGAGAAGGAGGAAGACGAAGTGATGCTAGGAGTGAGGCGGTTCGTCTGGAAGCACATCCAGGATATCGATCAGGTTCTGGGTCTGCTGGAAGAACACAACCTGACGGCGAGCGGCCCCAAGTCGAAGCATTGTATGAGGGAGGCCACGATTCTGGGTTTTGTCTGCAACGAGAAGGGGCGGAGGCCAGATGTGAAGAAAACGGACAAGATCCTAGAGTGGCCAGTCCCCTTTCAGTCAATAACGAACGTGAGGAGCTTCCTTGGGACCTGTGGGTTTTGGAGGAGTTTTGTGAAGGACTTCGCCACCAAGACGGAGCATCTAAGGAAGCTGGTGCGTCAGGATCAGGAATGGGTCTGGGGCGAAGACCAGGAAAAGGTTGTGGAAAGGATGAAGGGAGAGTTCAAGGAAGGAGGCTTAGTGCTGGGAGCGCCAAATTATGAGGCTACGGAGGAAAAACCATTCATTGTCGAGACAGACGCTGGACCAACTGCCTTAGGAGGGGTCCTGATCCAGGCAGATGCGGATGGGAAGGAGAGGCCGCTAAGATTTGAAAGTCGTACCCTTAATACGACTGAGAGGAACTACTCCCAGTTTAAAAAGGAGACGCTGGCGGTACTCCACTGCCTGAGGACCTTCTGGAACTATATCTTTGGCAGGAGGCTCATCTTGAGGGTAGACCCTACCGCGCTTGCGTGTTCTCTGAAAAGTTATACTCCATCTAACCCAACCATCGCGAGGTGGTTGACCTACATTTGGATGTTTAACTTTGAATTGGAGAGGATTCCCAGGGACAAAAACAGGACAGATGGGTTGAGCCGTATCAACAGGGATGGGGTGAATCAAGAATCAATTGAGGATACCCCACCAATCGACGGGTTCTTGGACCAGGAGGAGGATGTCCGCCTCCACACAAATGAATGGTCGCTGAGGGTGCCTAGCTACGTCACGCATCCCATATGGCTAGCACCAAAGGGGTATGAGCGAAAGGAAGAACTGTTCCTCAAGCCTTTCCAGAAGAAGATCCGTGGGGGAGTAGGGATGTTGGCTGGATGATGAAGTTGGCATTGGCAGGCACGCATAGCTTGGCGGAAGAGGTGAGGACGATAGAGGAAGGGCCAACCCAGGTAGAGGAGCATGAGCAATTAATGGGAGGGATGTACTTGCTCACTAATACGCTCCTGGAGGGGAACTTCAACCAGAGGAGCTCAGCCGGTTCCGAGAAAAGCGAACTTCTTATTCCTGAAAGCCAGGACGACGAGTTCGAAGAGGGAGAGATTAGGGAGGCCTTTCGTGCTGAGGAGTATGACGGGATCTATCGGGAGTTGGGGTTACTCCTGTCGTGCAAGATAAGGGATAGGGACGCAAGTACTAAAGCCCAGAAGATGAGGCATCTCTACGTAGTAAGAGATGACCATCTGTTTATAAAGCGATAAGTTGGGAACCCCAAGAGGATTGTATGTGGGAGGAACCGGCAGATCGATGTCATAGCAGCCTTACACGATGGTATAGTAGGGGGATACAGAGGGGTTAGTGCCACGTGCGCAAAGATAAGTGAGTTATACCATTGGGATGGAATGCTGACTATGGTTATCAAGTACTACCAGTCCTGTGTACCTTGCCAACAGAGGTCAGCGCAAAGGCCTGGGGAGCCTCTGCATCCCAGGCTGGAAAGGGAAGTGGGTGCAGTCGTACACCTGGACCTGTTGTTCATGCCACTCGGGGAGGATGAAAGTAACTATATCTTCGATGCACGGGACAACCTTACCAGGTTCGTGGACGGTCGGGCTATTCGCACAAAGACTGGCCCAGTTTTAGCAAGGTGCATCAAAGAGTACTACCTGCGCTATCCGTTTGTCGGAGAATTCGTGATGGACCGGGGGTCGAAATTCACCTGTAACGAGGTGCGGGCCTTACTTGCGGGGTATGGCGTGGTAGCAAATTATACTATTGCCGCGCACCCCCAGGGCCCCAGGCAAACGCTCCTGTGGAGAGGGGGCATAGCACCATCACGAATCTTCTGGCCAAGTGGACTGAGGGGAGGCCTAACCAGTGGCCGAAGTTCCTGAGAGCAACATTCTTCGTGGAAAATGTTACAGTGAAAAGGACTACCAAGTATGCGCCAACCACTCTATGGTATGGGAGGCATGCCACCTTTCCCATAGAAAGCTTCATGAAGACGTGGAGGCGCCAGGACCTAGAAGTGAACCTGTCTTTTGAAGAGCTGCTCGATATACGGGCGCTGCAGGTGGGAGCCGCTGAGGAAAGGTTACGAGAGGCCGCTGGTCAGGTAGAGAGAAGCCGTATGGAAGACAAGATGAGATGGGACCAGATGGCCTGAATAAGGAAGGATCCACTGAAAGTTGGGGATGCGGTACTGTTGTATGACTCCTCGCTGGAAAAACAATGGCCTAGGAAGCTCGACAAGCGATGGATGAGACCCTATAGGATCGTGCGGTGTGGCGAGTTTGGGGCCTACCAAATTGAAGAGCTGGATGGGGCCGGGTGGCAGGACTGGGTATCAGGGACAAGGCTGAAGAAGTTCGTGGCCAGGGAATAGGTAAGGCACCATGAGACCTTGTTAGGAATAGAGTCTTGCCTAGGTAGTGCCCATGTCAGGTGATTGGATAGGTAGGTGATTGGGGTGGAGGGGTGTGGAGTGTATGTGGGATTTCCCTAAGCCAATGGGCTCGGTTGCTGACCCTGCTGTGTGCCTGTTTGCTGTCTCTCGCCTGTTGTGCAGGTCTGACTTTTCGAAGGCAGTCATGCACAGGGGCGGGAGGGACACACGGCCACGGCAGGGGTCCCAGAGGGCAGTAGGAAGGGACGAGCAGCATGAGTCGCCTAGGAGGGAGTCACGCCTGAGTTCGACGACGATAACATAGAGCTTTTCCTGGACGTATATCGGGATCATGCGGCACAGAGAGGGTGGTCAATGGCAGAGAGGATTCACCACTTGAGAGGTATAGGGCGGTTTGAGGAGCCTGTCGCTCAGATATGTGAGAAGGCCCTGACTTGGCCAGATGTGGAGGTCGGGATGCAGAGGTTGAGAGCTTTCCCTAGAGGGCGCCATGGCACGCCCATTCGATTGGAGGAGGGGAACACGGAGGAGTTCATTCCCGCATATGAGCACTACATGTTGAGTCAGGGGATTGCGCGAGAGGAGTGGGTGCAGGCCCTACTTATCTGGACGAGGGGGGCAGAGAGGCCAGTGGCCAAACTGATTCGGGAGAGGGCCCGAGACTGGGAGGACTGTCAGGCCCAACTCAGGAGGGCGTTCGGATGGCCAGAGCGCGAGAGGCACGAGCCCAGGGTTGAGAGGCGACGGCGAAGCAAGAGGCCAAGGGAGCCGGCACCGAGAGAGGTGGGGCTGCCCAGAGAGAGGAGGAGGGCCCCAGCACAGCGGGAGGATGAGCCCACAAGGCCCGCATTGGCAGAGGAGTCGTTCCCTGCTTGTGGCCTCCGGGCGGTTGAGTTTCGGCGGATTACGAGCGAGGAGTTGAGACCGCCCTCACCGTTACCATCAGCGCAGGAACTAGATATACCAAGAGAGACGCCATTTCGGAGCTTAGCGACTCATCTTGATGTATCTCGATGGGAGGCCTCACGATTGGGGGAGGGCTCAGTTGAGCCGACGTGCTATGTGTCGTTGGAGGAGCCTTTGGACCCCGAGACGGAGACGGACATGCGAGACCGAGAGGAGCCGCAGGATCCGAAGATGGCAGCCGAGCAGCCGGATCCGGTACGGCCTCAGGGCAGGGAGGTGATCACGGTCGGGGACGATACCCCGCCACGCTCCCCAGTTCCAGAGCCAGCACAACACTCATGGCCAGAGGGAATTCCTGAGCCAGGCAGCGAGGAGATTCCGGAGTCTCCCCCTGAGGCCACCGCTATGCCTGAGCAGGAGGCAGAGGCGGAGGATCAGGGAGTGGGTGAGAGAGCGAGGGTGGAGACGCCCCTTGACTTGCCATCGGCCATGCACGTGACCAGGAGCCCAGTTATCGGGGGGCCTGTTCCAGCGGAGCTACCGCCAGCAGTGCCATGCACGAGTGAGGGGATGGGGGCTGAGGCGTCGACTCCGGAGGGCCAGGGGCCGCGAGTGAGAAGAACCCCAAGAGAGACCCGCGAAGAGAAGTCCGCCCGAGTGAGGGTCCGTCTGGATGAAATACACGCAAGGCAGGCTGAGATGGAGGCAGCAGGAATAGAACCGACACCGCCGGTCGAGCCCAAGACGAGTGAGCGGAGGATCGACGAGTTGTGGGCTAGGTATGAGAGCCAGAGGGATGCAGCCCGCCAGAGGTCACGAGATACAGGACAGGCGGACGAGGAGGCGGGTGAGCTGAGGGAGATGGGGGACTTGGGATTCTCTGCGACTAGGATGGCGATTGAGCGAGTGGACAGGAAGATATGCGAGACGGCAGTTACATCCTTCCAGTGGTATAACCTACTCAGCGGTGAGCTCAGGGTCAAAGAGTTGGAGGTGGGGCACCTGACTATGAGGGCGCGAAACCGCGGTGGGTATGCCCACGAAATAAGCCGGCGCTCGGACCCAGATGAGGGAGCTTGGTGGGCAAGGCCGTGCATCCCGAACAGCCTGGGGGCCGCTGCCTCCGCGGCACGGGCTGTGTCTGTCGGGACACCGTTAGAAGTCGGGACGTCACAGAAGGGGTGGGCATGGCCCATATGTGTGGATGGCATGCGCGAACCGAAGGTAGCAAGGGCGGACCCGAGCGTTGCTGCCATCGTAGTTCGCAGCGCGCAATGGGCCCGCATGCCTGAATCCTGTAAAGAAGGGAGACTCACCGGACCCTCCGAGGATCTGCGCGACGTGCCAATGAGGCGAGGGTGAAAATTGGGGAAGATCTAGGAAACGATATAAAGAAGATTCGCCTGATTCCGGTGCAAAGGCTCGCACGTATAAACCCCGAAGGACGGGCCAGGTCCATGTGGAAGGGGCTTAGTAAGTGGGATGCAACCGTGGCAGATCTCCCGTGGAGAAAATCCGAGTGAGGAAAGGGAGTTCCGAGGGCGAATGTGGACGGGTGCCCGTGGCAGGGGGGGGGGGAAGTCTCAGCGACTCCTGGGAGCGCCGTGGGGCGCTTGCCACAGTTGGAGTCCTTCGGGACATCCGTAAAATTGGAACGATACAGAGAAAATTAGCGCGGCTCCTGTACAAGGACAGCCGTACAAATGGAAGAAGGCCTGACGACCAGACGCTTTTGCTCAGCGTTCAGTAGCCGTCGGGATGCGTAGTCAAGGACTTTCGGCCAAGGCAGCAACGCAGAGGGCAGAAGGTGAATCCAGGCCGGGGTCGCTGCTTGGTGTTTGGCGGAGGAGGCCGGCCTGCGGACCGGGGGGGCGACGAGCTGGAGAGGGTGACGACGACGGAGCGGGGCTACGGGAGGTGGAGGATGGTAGGCAGCGGGGAAGCGACGGGGCAACGAAGAAAGGAGGGGCCGACGGACAGATAGTTGAGGGGCGACTGTCGGGCGGATGCAGGCGAAGACAGCGAAGGACGAAGTGCAGAAGAAAAATAAAAAGGGGAAAATGAACCTGGTGCGAATCCACGGCGGGTGCATTCGCAGTTAGAGATGAGAGGAATGGGCATGGCGGGGAGGAAGAACGGTTCCCACACCCGATTCTTGACAGAACCGAATGGGAAAAAGTGCTATCTATAAAGTTTGGGTAGGGCGAATCCGACTATGAAGTTAGTTTTGGGAGTAGCTTAGTAGATCGGGAGTTAGATGGGAAAGGAGCTGCGTGGAGACTATGTCGGAGGGAAGAAGGAAGAAGGTGGGAAGTGCATAGCCCAGGCAACTCCCAATGGATTTCGGTGGGGGAAGGGCCGAAGACACGGTTTAAGGCCTAGGCGGAGTCGAATCTGCGTTTAGTTTCAGGGGTAAGTAAGTAGAAGAGAAGGGAGAGGGGGATAGGCCTGCGTGGAGCTATGGCGGGAGGTTGAATAGCAGGCGGGAAGGATTGAAATACCACTCAGTGCCTGATGGAACTGAGTGAGATGAAAGCCGCGGAGGGGGTTTTAGGATAGGGTGAGTCTAATGGTGCAGTTAGCTTAGGGGTAGGATTCACGGGTTAGAAGTTAGCAGAAAGGACTAGTGCGTGGTGAGCTGCGGGGAGAGGAAAGCCCAGGGGAAAGGGGCACGCACCTGGCCAGGCATCGTTCCACGTTTTAGTGGAAGATTCAGTCGAATCTGTTCATCTCTGCTGGTGGGAGTATCGTGCGAAACGAGCTAGGGCTGAAAACTTACCTATTGGGTGGTGCGCTGCCCATCCTACTGAATGGAGTAGTGACAGGCGGGCTTACCTGGCGTTAGTAATCCCGTTCGCCCTTTAGGCGTACCTGCCCGTGTTGTAGCGAAGCATTCTTTCGATTTTGCTCATCCTATTGCCGGAGGAGGCTTACATGTAGGCCAGTACGTCCGAGCGGAAGGGCCAGGCTGGGGGGCAATGAATGTGCTCCCGTTCTGACAGTAGATCCATCCGGAGCTTGCCCAACATGTTGATTGGAGTAGCGGAGCTTGCTCCCCAAGTTGGTGACTCACCTACTAACCGGCGCATTGCCGAGCAGAGCAACTACAAGCGAGCAACGAGTTTGTAGGCTTGCCTGCCTACGGATAGAGTGCCATGTCAACGGCCGGAGATGTGAGGCAGGGCGCAGCGTTGGAATTGCCTGTGAACGGGTGTGCCGGTTTACACAGCCAGAGGGACAACAAAAAAGGGAAGAGTTGCAGGGTGCTCGTTGATCGGCAGCGTCGTTCGGTGCCGAGTAAGTCAGTCTGAGCCGGTTGTGAGGCCTACCTGCCAACCTGTGTAGTGCCCGACCTTTGAACGGAGAACAGATCGGGGCAAGCCGCTGGACAGTAGGCTCATTCGCCGGTTGGTACCTAAACTTATAAAGCGTCTTGGGTCCCTGAAAGTCACTCGCAGTCAAACCTTCACAGGTCAGAGCAGCCAGGACACCTAAACTTATAGAGCGTCCTGACCCTCCATGCAATTCACAGCACCACGTCTCCCCAAACTTATGGGGACATCCCAGCCTCCAGAGTTTCTGGCTACCTAAACTTATAGAGCGGCCTGAGGCTCCATGCAATCCAAAAATAAACAAAGCGCTGGACTTCCCCAAACTTAAGGGGACCTTCCAGCCTTAGTGACCCAGTCAATCTGCACACAATACTACCTTCCTCCCAGCCTTCCCCTTGATGCAACCCATTTCATTCACAGTCTGCTTTCAGACGATCAACAACTTAAAACCATACATTCTTTTATTCTCAATCTGACTTATGTCCTGAAAGTCAAACTCAGAACCAAGTGTAGGATCCACACAATCCACTCAGTCAAACATAGAGAGATGTACAGGTAGGGGTTATAGTTGGGTTTATAGAGGGAGTCAAGGGATTACCACTCGGTTCCTTGCCTCCAGGACTCCGCCTGAGTCCCGGCAGAGTTCCCGCAGTCGGTGGGGCAACCTCCCACAAAGACCTTGGCGCAAGTCACGGGTCACACGCCCGCTTGCCGCCTCCCTCTCAAAACCAGTAGACTAGACTTAGATTAACAAGGGCAGCAGGAGATAGTTTGAGTCTCTCAGATCCAAGAAGGGTGCTCACAGACTCGCAAGAGAGGGCTTTGATACCTCGAATCGCCTGAGGACCCCGCAATGGCAGCCTATGTGACAGCTGGGTCACTCTGAATCAGTTGCTGAAGTCTCGTCCCGGCCGACTCTCCAAACTTCAGCAATAAGGTTCCGTCAGTTCCCCAATCCCATCCGCAATAGCATCGTTAACTGCAACAGCATGCCGTAGTCAACCATGGGTGCTAGCAACCTGCGGCCTCCACCTCATGCTGCAGTGATGACCCCCGCCGCGACCGCACCGGCTGACCACCACGTCTACATCCTATAGCTGGCCTGTTACTGCCATGCCTCGTTTTTTTTTGGGTTCTCTCAGTTTCTTTGATTCTGAACGAGGAGGTCTGAACCGCTCTATAAGTTTAGGTGGTTCAACCCTTCTCCTGTTTTGTTCTGAGGGAATAATTCTGGCAGGGGACAGACCGCTCTAGAAGTTTAGGTAGCCTATCCCACTGCCTCGCACAGATTGGATAAGAGAGAAACGAATCTGGCTGAGGATCAGACCGCTCTATAAGTTTAGGTAGTCTGACCCAATGCCTCGTGCATGTTGGAACCCAATGAATATAACTTGGCTATATTATATTACTATACTATTAAGAACAGGCTAGTCAGGCCGCTCTATAAGTTTAGGTGACCTGACTATAGCTTATCACAATTGAAGAGAGTATAACTAAGAGATATAACTGAAGGTAAACTTGGGCAAGCTGAGCAGTGTTCTAAGTTGAGCGGCTCAACCCTATGTCCCTTGAAGATTAAGTTTAGAGAGGTATATATAACTTGGTTATTTAAACAGTTCAGGGCGGCTAGAGTGGTCTAGTCATACGCCCAAGAGAAGAGAGAAGTAGTTGTGCCCTCTGTTTGTGTATACCTGGTCAAGTCAGAACGCTCTATAAGTTTAGGTATTCTGACTTTGGGCGTGGCTAAGTTGGACGCGCTYTGTAAGTTCAGGTGCCCTGACCTATGCCTTATGTAAGTTGGGTATGAGGGTATAACTCACTGAGAAAGCATGAACTATTGTTTGCTAAAGAAACTTGGGGTTGGCGAGAGTACTTACCTTTGTGGCTTGGCCTGCATGTGGCTGAGTGAGATTACTACTTGGTCTGGGTTTCAGGTTGACAGGTAGTTGCTTTAGAGGCTCGCCACGTGCTAGAGCGATAGAAGTTAGGTCAATTCCTGCATTTTCTGGGTTGAATTTATTTTACTTAGATCAATTCTCGCATTTTCTGGAATCTTTTGTTATACTTGGCTTTGTATAAATCTTGGCAAGCTACTTTCTCTACGGGAAGCGCTGCCGAAATTTCTACAAATCCAAAGAGTTGGTCAAATTTTGGCTTGTCGAGGCTTGACTTGTCTTTTCCCTATATCTGACTTCGTAAAAATCTGGAAAGCCTCCTATTCTAAAGGGAGTGCTGCCCAATTTTTTGCTAAATCAGGGAGTTAGACAAATTTGGACTTTTCAAAGTTCAACTGGTCTAAGGTTCATATATGGCTTAGTAAGAATCTGGGGAGTTTCCTATCTAAAGGGAGTGGTGCCCAAATTTTTGCTAATTCAGGGAGTTAAACGAAATTGGACTTTGGGAACTCAAAGACTATTTCTGGTTTCATGTTTGGTTTGATATAAATTCTGAAAATGCATTTTTCCTACGGGAAGCGCTGTCGAAATTTTAGGGATTTAGAAGAGTTGAATTATATTTTGACAGGTGACAATCTTGGCAACCCAGCCTGAATAGGGGATAGTCTGCCATTAATCTACCTTTGCTTAGGCACTGGCTTAGAGGTAGGTTGGGACTTAGCTGGCAAATAACCTTGAGTGAGATTGTGATATGGGGATTATTCTCCATGAATTTGTAGACTTAGCTTGAATTTGGCCCGTCTTGTGTTACATGTCCTTTGGGGTGTCTGATTCAAGTCGAGGACTAGATTCAACTTGGTCTCTTGAGGGTCATCTTCTGTTATCGATGATAACAGGGTGGTTGCCGATTCGTCGGTCTTCGACTCAATTCCAACTCGCTCTCCATACTCAACCTAAAAGGCTCTAGCCCTGGTGGTTTTACTGTTTGTTAAGGGTTTCACCCGGATTTTTTTCAATGGACATTTGACAAAGGTACTGCGTATTTAATTCAGTTTGGTTGGATCGGCGGTTGGGGCTTGCATGGCTAAAGTGAAGGAGTATGAGCATAGAGAATGGTTGGGGTTGACTCCGTGTAGTTCGTGTGTGCCTTGTTTGCTCGTTAGGGATTATTATGGTTGGACGTTGTAGTCCGTGGCAA